TTTCCAAATAAACAATTTTTGGTCAAACAATTTATTTTGGCGAGATATACAGGGTGTTATTCAATTGATTGCTGAAAATGAAGAATATTTTTCAATTAGACTCCTCGAAGTTTTTCCGTCCGAGAAGCCGTCTTCGCGTAAAGAAATAGAAAATATTTTCGTGCATTTGTGGCATAAAAAAATATTTCGAACTAGTAGGCTAGTGTGCTAGTGACCTAGTCTGTATTTGAAATAATGACATTCAATCGACTACGTTGCGGTCTTATTTCGACAAGTATTTATGGAAGTGACAGTATTTACATTGCGAAAAATCCTAATCAATCAATCAATGAAGATAATATTCAATTTCAACACTCATGAAACTCTTATGTTCAGAGGTTTAGGGCATATGTTTATGAAGACTTTTATTTTTGAAATGAGCCAAGTAACCATATCCTATAATTTCAGCCATCAATGAAATTACATCCTGTATACCCTGTTAAATGAAAAAACCTCACTTCCAGATCCACCCTGTATAGGTACACGTATTGCCGCATTTTTTTCTCCAATTATTGGAGAATATCTGCAACAACCGCAAGATTTAGTACCCACTGAGGTAACTGAAGCTGAATAGGTTATGAATGACTTTCTATGAGCTCCTGAACGGTTTGCGTTGACCTGCAGGTCGCTCTGTAGATATCGAACTTATCTTAATAGCTGGTTCATCAAGTTGTGCAATTCTATCATCGATTTTCCTAAGGCCAATCATTTGAGCATTAAAAATAAAAAACTGGGGAAAAATAGCAAAGCTTTCACTGAAGTTGTATTTTAGTGTTGAAAGAAACTATACAAAATTTTCGCCTTCGTGAATCAATCTTGAAAATGGTCGCAAAATCAGAGAACGATAGAGGATTGACTATTTTTCAGTTCCACCATTTTGTGACCTTAATGCAATTTTTGCCTGAAAAATATCCACCATTTTAGTTTTGAGCTTAAACAAAAGTCAAAAGTGCATAGCACAAAAAACAAAAGTCGCTTGAAATTGTAGAACTCCGCAGATGCCGACACTGGCCGTTACCACCGATACAACAAGGCCTGGATGCTCCGTGGGTGACGTCACTTAGTGAGGCCTAACCAGCGGCTCGAAACGATAAGCGCTTATAGCGCTATAAGGCGACCGCGTATTTCGATTTTAGTTTTAGATCATCATTGAGCCGATTTTGCTGTTTTTTGAAGGGCTTCCGGTTAAAAAAAGGTACCAGTCGTCAACTGAGCCCTTCTTCGCACCCCATTCGATTTTATTATGGAAAAAAGAAGTTTTAAAGCAAAAACCAGGATAAAACACAAATATCCACCTACAGCAACCCATTCGAATTGAATATATTGGCAAAAATTGTGGTGAAGGTAAACTTCACACCTACTTATACAGGGCCCGCAGAACATAAACTTATCGTGAGATTGATCAAAAGAGAATTGTGGAAAATGTATTTTATTTTGATTGACATGCCGTTTGTTACAATTACCTACATATTATCTTGGAGAATTCCTATTACCTGAAAAAATAACCAGTGAGTGTTTTCAATTTTCTGTTGTTGGATTTTTCACCCAAGTGGATCGTTACACTTGAAACCGTGATTTTTAAGAGTAAAACTGCACTTATCATGCGATGGTTTTTTTTTAAATTTTTATTCGGTACTCACGTATTTTTGTCTGATAATCCGAATTTTATAACGAAAATGTGAACAAACCACTATTTATTGAGATATTTCAAGAAAAAGTTCGAAATTTCGCCTTCTTTCTCTCCTTGTGTTGGGGACATTTGAAGCTACTTGCTCTTATTTTGTCATTGGACACTTTATATACTCATGATGTACTTTGATGGCACATTTTTATATAGAAAATTCAACAGGAAATATGATTTTTATGGCGAGTTTTTCATATTTAGTGAACAAGCATTCCATATGGCGACCATTCAATCAATAGTCAATCAAAATACGAGATGTCAAATGTCAATAGATTGCTTTCGAATGACATTACACACACCTTTATTTTGAATGATATTCTTCCTTCTTTTCACTAAATATGGATTAATCTCAAGAAAATCATATTTATAGTTGAATTATATATAAATTGTCCAATATGATGAAAAAAGAAGGAAAATTTGTTCCAAATGCCATCCAGAAGACAGGTGAAAAAGAAAGTGGAATATGGAAATTTTTCGTCAAATATCTTCATGATAAATATCATGATGAATGCAGTTTTACCTTTTTAAGTAGAGTGTTTGTATATAGTTCATGTTAATATGATAGTTGCAATTTGATCATTGGAATGAATTCTGCATTCATTGCCACGAGGCAAATGACCGTTTTCAGAAAGAAATTTGAGAATGAGAATCAAAAATGCCCGTTTATTATGAACATTCAAGAAAATTTCCTCGAATTCAGAGATGATTTTTTTGCATATTCCCACATTTTCGATAGCTCCTCGTCCAACGGGAAACTAAAAGCATGAACTTTTAAACCACCCACATAATTTTCCCGACAAAAGGAAACACAACACTTGAAAGGCATTGTTATTTCGCCGATTACAACACAAAATATTTCACAAAACAGTAATTTTTTTGCCAATTATTTTGATGAATAAACAACAAAAGAATTCGGGACCGTTTCAAAAACATACGTGAATCACCGATTAATTAACACGAACTGACGCGTTTATTTATTTAGTTATTTATTTATTAGGATCCATGATGAAAATAACATTTATGTGGAATAAGTCAGAATAATAGGTGCATTTCTTATAGACAACAAACTAGTACAATAAACATATAGGTATGGTTTCAGAATACAATGTAACATGTCAAGTATACATACCAATAACTACATTAAAAAAAAAGGAACAAACAATAGTTATCACGTGGTAACCAGTGAGGAGCTAAGGTTATGATATTTGAGAAAGCTGGTACAGCAATTTTCCGTAAAATAAGTATCTACCTACCTATTCAATTAAAGGAGTCGAAAGAAAAATTCAGGAACTCGTCCAGACTATGAAAAACATTCTCAAGCAGGAATCTTTTTACTATTCTCCTGAATATTTGCACGTTTTTTTCCATCCTCCATTGCGGAGGAAGATGATTGAATAATTTAATTGGAATAATATAAGAACTATTCGCTGTACGAGATAATCTATGTTCAGGTACATACAAGTTGTCCGCTTGTCTAGTTGAATATTTGTTGAGTTCGTTGCACTTTTTGAAATTTGGGTAATTCTCATGAACATGTAGGAGACATGCATAAATGTAAACTGAATAGACCGTAAGTATTTTGAGGTTTTTGAATATTTCTCGACAAGAAGCTCTATGTCCAGCAAATGATATAGTTGAGCTTCCCCAGCATAATATACAGTAGTTCAATGTCGAATGTACAAAGGAAAAATAATATGACTTGAGAATTTCTTGATTAACAGATTTTCTTAGTTGATATAAAGCATAATGAAAACGAGCCAACTTATTCCTTACCGAATCTATCTGATCATTCCATGTAAGATTGGAGTCCAAAAATATACCGAGAAATTTGACACATTCCTTGCGTTCTATGGTAGTCTCTTCCATTTTTATTTCTGTCAAGGTGTGCTGCACTCTCTTTGTCGAGAACACCATGATATTTGTTTTAGAAGCGTTCAGAACTAAACCATTTCCTGCAGACCACTCGATCAGTCTGTCATTTTCTAGAGTCATTCTTTCAGTCAACTCGATATCACTTGATGAGCTCACGGTGATCGAGTAGTCATCAGCAAATAATGTAGAAAGATTGCATCTCACATGTTTCACATCGACAAGCGATAAAATAAAACACTGGCCTCTCTTGGTGACGTCACGAGCTGTTTACGTCAGAGTCTGCTGGCCTTGTTGTATCGGTGGTAACGCACTGGCACAGCCTTTGTGTCTCTTGCAATATAAACAAACATTGTTCTTTGCGTTTGAGAACTACTTCTTGAACCAACTAGATCAAATTGATAATCAAATTAGCTCATAGGCTTCTTCGCCTAACTGATGAGACCCGGAAGAACGAAAGCTCACATCCGAAGCAGTAGATAAACTGGGATTCAGGTTTCACCCCAACCCAACGATATTTTCGGGTGCAATGTGTGAGCATTTGACCTTCCAGGTCTCATCAGTTAGGCGAAGAAGCCTAAGAGCTAATTTGATTATCAATCCACCATTGTGTTGATTATTACTGTACTTCAAAATGGGGTTTGTAAATTAGCGAAACCAGTGAACAACTAACTTCAATTTATATTATCTGACTGAACTACTGAATTTCAACTAGGGAAAAAAGCCAAATACTCAAAGTGGAATGCATTGGTCACAAAGAGAGAGAAATTGGAAGTCATTACCACATACTAGTTCATAAAATTTCGCAGACGTCGAACGCCTCGTATGGTATAAATACTGAGATGCGTTTACGTTGGGTCAGGTTCGCACCAGATAGCGGTCAAGAAGCTTTCTGGGGCAGCCCTGTACTGATGAGAGCCAAGAGCTCGAAACCGGTCTGCAGTTAGTCAGCGTTCCTGAACCACTTAAGTGCAGCTCAGCGTTTAGGAAGGAAACACTTGCGATTTTATTCGTTTATACGAACTATCGCATAGATTTCGGGAGGATGTAATGCAATGTTCTGCGTGGCATATAGCCAGGAAAGTGGATGTTTTTCTCTCGTTATCTACCATTGTCGTTCATTTTATGAACTAGTATATGGTAATGACTGCGAGTTTCTCTCTCTTGGGTACTGAATTTCATTCAAATAACGACAGACTAATTCCAACATTCCATATCCTACCAAGACCCGATCACGTAACCCTTCGTCACCTCCTCCTGAATCATAATCTCATGTAGGTAAATTTTATAATTCTACAGAGGCGGCGGGGTAACAATTGTTCATTATTTATAATCTCAATTTTCAACAATGTTCCTGGCCTTGTTCGAAGGTGTTTTGCTATTTTTTGATGACATGATTGCCCAACAGGTATCGAAGAAAACCTCCCGTACCGCCACTTCATGGTATGCAGACCGGAAGTATCCGCCTTGGAGCTGCACCCGGAAGAAGGTCACGTGCCCAAGCTGACAGACGAAGTCTTCAGGCGCTTGTTCAGCGACGGCGGTCACATCGACGACGATTTGTCGTTGAGAAAGTGCATCTTCTTCTCGGGCATGGACAGGTCAATCAGGCGGGAAGTGTGGCCGTTTCTGTTGCACGTGTATCCCTATCAGAGCAGCTACGAGGAGAGGGTGCAGATTGCGGAAATCAGAAAAAATGTAGGTACTCCTCATGATACAAGATATGTTGATTCACCCTTGTAGGATGATGATGTGAACTACACCTTCCCCAGTTGCATTCCAGAAAGCGTCAATTTTTTCATGTCCTGGTTCCCACGAGAAGGGATATCCTGTGATGTTCAGGAAACATCGTGAGAACCAAGGAAAATGAGGTAGGAATTGGTGTTCTTCTTGAATTTCTGGAGGTTTTATGCCTCAGGGAACACCTGCCTTGGCAATGTGTTCTAGAGCCTCGCTGATGATTGTATAAACAAGTCTTTGAAAAGAGATGTTTCCAGGTCTCCAAAGTGACCACAAGGGGGTGCGAAGCCTCAACTCGACGGGTCGATCTCGCGGGGACTGCCAAGGGAGAAACAAATGTTGATATTTCAGAAGAGCATGGCAAATGGAAATATCTTCATGATAGAGTTAGTTCGCCAACTTTTCTGAGTTGTTCCAGAGAAGTGAGTGAGTTTGTGAGCGAGGCATCACCTACGAGACGAATTGCCCTTTTTTTGACCGAATCCAACAGTTTCAGGGCATGTTTGGGTATTGCACTCCAATATAGGAACAGTATTCCAGAACAGCTCGAATCTGTGCCTCATAGGTCATGAGCAGCTGACTGGGAGTGGAATAGCTCCTGGTCCGAAATAGTGAACCAAGTTTTTGGGATGCACTCTCAGCAATTGATCTCACGTGATTTTCCTGAGAGAGGTTATTGCTGATAGTAATACCAAGCATCGAAATGGGTGTCTTCAATGGTATGGTTACTCCTGACAAGCTTATGTTGGGCACAGTGAGATCGTCTTTTCTAGAGAGAAGGCATGCTTATGTTTTGTTCGCATTGAAATCTACGGAGTTATTGAATCGCCATCCGAAAATTGTTGCCAAGTCCATATTTATGTTCTCGACATTTTTCCCTCGCGCGTTTTTGATTTTTCTGGCTGGTATTGGAGCCCTGGAAGAGAAGGCGGTATGGATGGTACTATCATCCCCGAAGCTGTGCACTAGATATGAAGTTGCTTCCTAACAAATCGTTGTTATGGAGGAGAAATAGTGTTTGTGCTACAATTGATCCTTGCGGAACACCAGCATTCATGATGAGAGAGTCAAATGGAACTCCGTTGACCACTACATAGAGATACCTGTCTGAGAGAAAACTAGCTAGCAGAGAACATAGCTGGGGAAGTAAGCCATAAGATGCAATCTTGGCGAAGAGTCCATGGTACCAGACGCGATTGAATGCCTTGGCGATATCAAGTGCCACGGCTAAGGTTTCACCATATTCTTCAATAGATTGCTGTCATATATGTAAGACGTAGGCGAGCAGGTCACCAGTTGATCTCTGATAAGGGAAGCCATATAGCCCATCGTTGATAATACTTTAATGTTCTAGGTATTGCATGAGCTCGATGTTGATAGCTTTCTCCATGATCTTTGAAATGATAGATAGCAGTGCGATCGGTCTGTTGTTGCTAGGTAGGGTATTTTTGCCTCTCTCAGGAAGTGGTTGTACTCTCGCAATTTTCTAGTTGGACGAGAATATCCCCAATTTGTGAGAGTAGTTGAACAACTTGCAGAAAACAGGTGTTAGTTCAGGAGCACATTTCTTGAGGACAATCACTGGGATTCCGTCGGAGCCACAAGCTTTGTTGGTATTGAGACCCAATAAAATCTTCCCTATAGTACGTTGGCGGAAGGTGATCTCGGACATATGACTGTCAATTGGCGTTATGTTCGGAGGTTATTTTTCCGATGATACCACAATGGAATTTTCAGCAAATAAATGCGCAAAAATGTTGGCTTCCTCCTGGGCAGTTGTGGCTAGTGTCCCAACTTCCTTGCACGGTTAGAAGAGGAAACGAGCTGGAAGTGAAGTTTGTCCCTACCAAAATGAACGGGATCCGTTATATAACACATCCAAAAGTTTTGATCTTATTTTGTTATTATGAGCATCATTTTATGATCGAATTGTCTCATTGAATATGCCTTTAGCCTCGACATATGATGCTCTAGTCGCAGGTCCTGAATTTTTGCTTACTTCGATAGAATGCTGCCTATTCGGAAGCGAGAGCTCTATAGCAGTTTCTAGAAGAAGACACCATCATGCAAAATATGAAAAATCCCCAAAGTTTATCGGCATTCGTCTGTATAATATTTTGCCAGATGATATGAAGACGGTATCATCTCAGCTTTTCAAGAAAAAACTGAAACTTTTTCTATCGGAAAATTGTTTCTATACAGTAGATGAATTTATACTTGGAGTTGACCGTTTGTGTACATAAGTTCAATTTTTGGCGCCGGTGATGTTCTTGTTTAACCATATAGTATTCTAGTCCTATATATTATACCTATTCAATGTTTATTTTGTAATTTTTTTGTTTTTTAACCTATATTATACATGTATGTATAAGTATATGTATTGTGTAGTGTATTTTAAATGACTACCTATTTTATATATTATCTAATGTATGACTTATCCTATCTACTTATTGTAGCACAAAGGACTAATAAAATCTATCTATCTATCTATCTATCTATCTATCTACTAATCCAGGCCTCATCGGAAGATATTTTCCTTGCAGTGTTCTGTATGTAGGTTTGCATCCCCAACATGATGATTTCAGAAATTGTCCCAGCACATCGTCTTGGATCTGCTGAGGAGAATAGTCACATTCATTTCAGAATCCATTCCCAGTGAACACACTCGTTATATTTACTTACATATGCCGTCAATTTTATGTAACGAATGTTCCACAACTCAATCCTCTCAAATCGATGTCAATGTACTGTGAATAATAAATACAAATTCACCTGATTCATATATCTAAAAACAGTTGGAAGCTGCTGTCGGCATCTTATGATTCAAATTTATATGGACTCATTAGTTTGAAACGGTTTGGAATATTTAAATATCCTACGATTGTTGGTCATGCTGAATTATTTCCAGGCATCACAGAGATGTCCAAGGTATTCGTGGACACAGGATGTACACAGAAAGATGCCCGATGGATGACTAGCTATGGTGATGCATAGTGTTTACTATTCATGTCCTCCATGGACATGATATTTCCTTACACAATGTCCAATTCATGTTCAAAGAAAACTGTTCAATGGACATCCAGTTGCCACGTGATTCCTTTTCATTGTTTTCATGTGGTAGAGTGGCATTCGCTTCTGTTATAAAAATGGCGGCACGGTGACATTGATCTTTTATAGCCCGTGTTTTCGAGCATTCTTGAGATAACTGAGCCTGAAAACTAATTCTATATAGTATTTGAATATTCAATTAATATACTGAGGTAATAGTGATTTTGCAGGAATATGAAGAGATCAGTAGACGAAGACTGGACCTGAATGAGAACAGGTTGAACCAGTTCAGGCGAACGATACAGAGTGTTGTTGAAAAAGACGTAGTGAGGACAGACAGGGGCAATCCCTTTTTTGCTGGTGATGACAATCCTAACCTTATGACGATGAAACATATATTACTCAATTATGCTATATACAATCCAAAACTTGGGTAAGTTTTCAGCTGTTTCTTTTCAAACCTTGGAACCTATGCTAGATTATATAACATGTATTTTAGGTTTCGTTTCAGGTATAATTTTATTTTTATTATACATCAATCCTGAAATCATGTCTAAAACTGGAAAGAGATCTGAAGTTATTTACAGATGATACTTCAATAACCTATATTCCTCTGAAGAATTCAATGATATTATTAATGATAGTGAAATTGACATGAAAATGATATCATCTCTGCTACAAATTCATAAGCTGACTCTTAACTATGACAAATCTACGTATACGTATCTCTCAAAAAGAAAAACTGATATATATATATCGAAATCAATAATATATTTCGACTAGAAAGTCATTGAATATTTAGATGTTATAAAATCCTTAGGTCTTTATATTGATGAACAATTATCGTGAGCTGAACATATAGATCACCTGAGAAAAGAACAAAATACAATTACTGAGAATATTAATTCTTTCTCGGTTTATTCAACAGAAAACATCTACTTTGCTGGCTATATGCCACGACGAATATTGAATTACATCTATTGAACACACACGATGAGAATTTGAAAACAAAATCTTCTGAAGTAGAGAATCTGCATTCTCCTTCATATAAAGATATGCATATAATATAATTCTGAACATTCAACAGAAAAAACTACTTTCCTGGCTATTTGCCACATCGAACATTGAATTATATCTGTTGAATATCAATTCAGGATTTTCTTCCACGTCCTGTATGATGAATATCAATTCATCATACATCAAAAAAAAATTCATATCAAATTGGAAATTTCAGTCCTCTTAGATATTTGAAGACAATATATTTCTCTCTGATTTACTCAAAATAAAAATACTTGATATAAATTTGGGAGAGCACATATCACATTTGAAACCATTAATGAGATTACAAAATAAAAGTATTAAGTGCATTTACAATTTACATTACCTGGTACCAACTATCAATCTTTATAAACCAAAAAATCTGTCCTTCTATAAACTCGAAATTTTTTCTCTCATTTTTTTTTTTAAAGAAAATTGAAATATTCAACTTGAACTTTACTGTAGTCAAAACAATTCATACGCATGAAACGAGACAGTTGAACTCATTAATAGCAAACCCATATAACTCCATTATTGGCAAACAATCAGTATCCCAGGCAACCAGATGATGTTACAGTGACGTCTTTTTTACGTCACTTGAATGACCTTCAAGGTGACGTCAGTAGTTGACGTCGCATTGACGTGATAATTACGTGAATAAGTCACAGCCCAATAACGTCATATTACTCGCGCCGTATTGACATCATTCACTCACCAAACTGTGACGTCTGACTGACGTCATAATGACGTCAAAATGACGATCGAATTTGAGGATTATACGTGAAAAAAAAATCCTTCAACATGGCGTGATTAACACCACTAGCCTCTGATGACATTATATAATATTGATTATGCAACAAAAATTAAAATAGTAAATTATTGAAAAATTTCCTGAATGACAAAGCTCACTAAATTGGTACGTCACACCGACGTGATTTTTAGACGTCATAGATACGTCACGGCAGCGTCATAAGAGTAACGGTTTCAATATATAGGTATACCTGAACAATCATTTTTATATATACATAGCTTGTTGGTTTCCGAGATATACAGAGTGTCAAAGTTTTTTAGAAAAAAGTTTTTCTACTACTTTTCGGGTATATTAATAATTAGAATAAAACTTGCATGTTGATTCGCTTTCATGAGTTATACTTCTGTTTCACATGATAATATATAAGTATCCATGGTTTAGAGAAGGTTTGGGAAAAATGGACGTCGACAGGACGTCCCTGCAACGTCATGGAACTGACGTCTTCTTTCACCCATCTAAGTGACGTTCACTCGACGTCGAAACGATGACGTGATTATCACGTCATAGAAAGTACGTCATTGTGACGTCATAAATTGGTGTTTGACGTCTCTGACGAAAAATCACCAATTAGGGACCTCAAAGTGACGTGATCATGACGTCATCTGGTTGCCTGGGATTCTATAACGGAATCATCCATCACCTTATGATTTGAAACATGAGACAAGAAAATAGAAAAAATATATACTCATGACACTATGAACGGAGCAATTTATTCTCGTTCGATACTTGGAATGATTTCATTCCATCTATTTTGTTGTATTGACAAACTCGTTAATTAGTTGATTTCATCGTTATCTATATAAATATAGAAGAAAGGGAAGTCGTTGCTGACACGTCAGAGAAAAAACTAGCTTGCTAGTGGGGATTGCAGCAACGTGAAGGTGAACTCATTACAGTTTGTCCGAGCTTTCAGAAATGTATATTTACATCTTCAGGGCTACTACAATAGATTTTTTATGCACCAGCGGGCCGTAAAGTGCACTTTACCGCCCGGTTTTGCGGGCGTTAAGCGTTAAGTCGCACTTTACCGCCCGCGGGCTCATTATGGCCCACGGGCCGTAAAGTGCACTTTACCGCCCGCTGTTCTGAGTTACCTTATATCCACATATCAATTCATGAGAAACCTATGATCATTTTTATAGATTCTAGTATATACCATCATAAACTTCTTCTTTATCCGATTCCATATCTCGCTATCATTATATTCAGTAATTTTTACTTTTCAGTCAAAGAATGACAATTCAGCTCGTTTATTGGATGTATTACTATAGACAACAACCATCAGCTTGATTGACAACGTCAAAATTAGTTAGGTATATATACTGAGTATGCATATTGTAAAATTCTGAAAAATAAATCACTTCTAGAGATCAAAGAGTTTAACTATTACGATAATTGCAATATTCGTACAATAATTTTCATATGTAAATCATCCATGAACATTACGCTTCTCTTGATTACTGAATTTATACGTAACAAATCAAATTCGGGGGAATATTAGTTTATCGAAATCTATAGTCATCACTTTTGAGTCAGTAAATGAACCACTAGTGCATAAAATGTTGTATGTATCACGTGCGTGAAATGCGTTTATGGCCTTCAGCGTGTAATGGCCCTCGGCTAGCGCCATCGGGCCATTATTCACGCCACAGGCCATAAACGCCTACTTTACGCCCTTGATACATAAATAACTATTATGTGTACAATGACAGCAATATCATGCAATGTTCAAATGGTACTTACACTATTTGAGGATGATCACTATGATGTCAATAAGAGGAAATTTTGAAAGTCGATGTAACATTTATCTGGACATACAGTCACGAAACATTCAAAATTCTTGTAGAAGACGAAAAAAACGGTTCTTACATGATTCGCACATCAATGAAAATCAATTTGGTTGAGCAAATGAAGGCAAGAGTATCCAGAATTTCAGATATTTTATTTCAAAAAAAGAACCTGAATATCCTCTACAATCTGTTTAATGAAAATGGATATCCCCATTAACTAAAATAAAAACTTATTTTCGACTCAGCCACTTTTCCAATAGCAGAAAGAGACATCCCTAACATTTCACACAATGATGAGATGAATTCTACTAATGCTCCTCAAGCTACACCCGTTTTTCACACCTCAATACCATACATTAGAAACTTAACCCCCAGACTGTCGAGAAAATTCCGCCAAATTTCTAATATCAATACTGAAATTGCTAATAAAACAGTTCTTACCTCAAAATCAATTTTTCCAAAAATTAAAGATAAAGTCTCGACAACGGCACGTACGAATGTGGTCTACAGTATCCCCTGTGCAGATTGTGATCAACATTATATTGACCAATCTGGACGATCTTTTATCCATTTATTTTATTCATTTATTTATTGAACAATTAACTTCCAGACAGAATAGGCTCTGTTATAAGGAAGTACATAATTATATGCCTATAGGATAGGTAAACATATCATTATACAAAATATATCAACAACTATGTGAATCGACAAACAAAGAATAATATTTGTGAAAAAGTTCGCTCAGAAATAATCAAATTTTTCACTTCATTTCTGAATGTACCTATATTTCTGCAATTTTTTATGTCAAGTAGTTTATTGAATTCAGTTAAGGCTGAATGAGTGAATCTTTTTTGTCCGATTATGGAGCTAGCGGCGTCAAGATGGAACAAGTTATATTGTCTAGTTTCATGATTATGAATTTCAGAATTCCGTATCAACATAAAATTCGACTTCAATTTTTCATTTATGATATTATATTATGATATTTTAAGAGTCTCAATTCTATATACTTCATCTAAAGAATACGTATTTGTTATTTCAAACAATTGATTGGTTGGTGTATCAAATGGGAGACGATACTATACTTTTAACGTTTTTCTATATAATGTTGATATTTTATTGAAATTGTTTTTTGAACAAGTTCCCCAAACATTTATTGAATAGTTGATACGACTCAGTATATGAGAGTAGAGAATCATGTTTGCAATTTTTTTTTTTTATTTACTTATTGGAAATGTTACTTCCAGTCAGAATCAAGTTCTGGTATAAGGAAGTATAGTTAACAATAATACCTAAAACTATACAATTATAATAAACTGATGAATAATAAAATATTTGAAAACATTAATTATTAAATTTTGACAAATCATTTCATACTGGTGAGCAAAAATCAATTTGAATATGAATCAAAAGTTAAAAAAAAAAAAAAAAACAACAAGTCATCTATTTCGTTCAGAAATGATAAATTTTTTAAGATGGTATTTGAATTTTATTGTATTTCTACAATTTTTTATATTATCTGGTAGTTTGTTATATTCCAAGAGAGCAGCGTGGGTGAATCTTTTTTGGCCTATAGAAGTATTAGCGATATCAAGATGAAATAAACCATGTTGTCTAGTTTGATAATTATGAATTTCATTGTTTCGTGTTAAAATAAAATTAGATTTCAATCTTTTATTTATGATATTGTATGTAATTTTCAGTCTTTCGATTTTGAACATTTCTTCTAATGAGAATGATTCAGTTATTTTATATAATTGATTTGTTGGTGTATCATATGGTAAACGATACAGTACTTTCAATGTCTTTTTATATAATGCAGATATTTTATCAAAATTGTTTTTTGAACAGTATCCCCAAACATTTATCAAATAGTTAATACGACTGAGTATATGAGAATATAGAATTATATTTGCAACTTTTTTATTCAGCTTGGGACATCTTCTCAGGGCTCCAATAATAGGAGATATTTTTTTCTTCAAAACATTTATATGTTTGTCCCACTTCAATTTATCATCAAACCAAATCCCAAGATACTTTTTCTCATTAGTTTGTTTCAAAGATTCATTTTTAATTCTGAGATTTTAATTTATATTTTGTTTATTTTTTTGTTGAAAAATCATATATTCAGTTTTATCAGTATTTATTGATAAGAGGTTTGAATGCAGCCAATTTCCAAATTTCATCAAGTCTCTGTTTATTATATTTTCTAAAATGATAGGATTTTTATTTTCATATAAAAGTACCGTATCGTCTGCATAAATAGTGTAATTACATTCTGTATCAATTTTCGTGATATTTTGAATATATAATAAATATAAAATTGGTCCTAAAAAAACAGATCAATATCAAGTTTGGGAAATCTTCTCAATGCACCAATAATTGGAGATATTTTTTCTGTCAGAACATCAATATGTTTGTCCCACTTCAACCTGTGATCCAACCAGATTCCAAGATATTTTATCTGGTCAGTTTGTTTTAAGAGTTTATTTTCCATTTTGAGGTTGAGGTAAATCTTTTGTTTATTTTATGGTGAAAAATCATATATTCTGTTTTGTTAGTATTTATCGATAAAAGGTTAGAGTGGAGCCATTTTTCAAATATTTTCAAGTCTCCATTCATCATATCTTCTAAATTTGAAGGATTCTTGCCTTCATATAAAAGTACTGTATCATCTGCATACATGGTATATTTACTCGTGAGACCAATTTCACTGATATCTTGAACATGAAGTGAATATAGTATAGGTCCTAAAACAGAGCCCTGTTGGCCAGCAGAATCATCTCCCACAGGAGCGACTGTAGACACCATCCAGAGAGATGTGCCCATGCAAGTCATGTGAATGAGTTGGACCATAATATGGATTACCATTCAGTTAAAGTTCTAACCACAGGAAGCAACTATACAGAAAGGAATTTCCTAGAGATGTCTTCCATTTCTCAAGAATCTAACTGCATCAATAAAAAAACATACATAAAACATCTGTTGAAAAAAACAACATATCTTAAGTTTAGATTCAACGGACTATATTTCCAGGTACACTCAAGGCATGAGCGACCTACTGGCCCCCGTTCTTTGTGAGTTGCAAGACGAAGTCGCAGCCTTCTGGTGCTTCGTAGGGCTGATGCAAAGGGCTGCGTTTGTAGCCACGCCTACCGACAGGGATATGGACAGGTAAATTTCCTTTTTCTTATTGACTCGGCTCACTTGATGGAAATCCATACCCAGGCAATCAGATGACGTTTCAGTGACGTCTTTTTACGTCAGTTAAAAGACCAAGGTGACGTCTCATGACGTGATGGATAACGTAAATGAGTCACAGCTCAATGACGTCATATTACTCACGTTCATTGACGTCAGTAACAAACCTAATGGTGACGTCGCTGACGTCGAAATGACGTTCAAATTTGAAGATGAAACTTGAAGAATTGAGAAAAAATCTGCATTTGGACAACACTCAAGATTCAACAACCACAATTGCAGCCCTAATAGAAATTAAAAAATTCAACGTGGAACCAGTTCCAAAGATTTGAATAGACTTGATTTCCTTGAAGACTTACATATCGACAAAAAATTGCAAAATAACATTGACTATATTTGTTCGAATACCCAGGTCAATTTTAACAGATCATAATATATTTCAATTCATAGAAGGTTAAAATAGCCTAATAATCAATTCAATCATAATATTCTTCCACAAAATTATCGAAAACTACTCTTTCTCTATAATGATTTAACTAGATATCCAAAACAGCAATTTATGTACACAATCTTTCTAAGCAGTTTTCCATAACACTGAGAACACCAATGGTTTCTTTCTCTTCATATTCCCGAGTTGGAGTGGTTCCTTGATGTTTCGTTTTCGTGGGTTGTGGAAGTTCTCATTAGACATTTTACTTCCTTCGCAATTGGAAGCTTAAGTTTTCAAAAAGATTTCTGAGAATAATTTGTCACAAACCGGATTCTCAAACCTTTTTGGTGTTAATAGGTTGCCAGACAGATGAATTTATTCAACTTTTGATTAGATCTGGAATAACTTGAGTGAGTTCTCATTAGGCTCAACTGGGTTTCCCTCGTGTATTCACTCGTTGTTTTGTTGCATTTTTTGAAATTCAGACTACTGAATAAGTTGCTAGTTAGGTTCTCATTAGACCAACAAAATATTCGCTGCTTAGGGACTTATCTATTCTCTATTTCATATTGTTTATCTGCACTAATTGTTTCATAACAATGAACATTCTTGACTTTCCCTTCGACACATAAAAGGTCTTGGATGTTATGTCATGCATGTCAACTTCAAAATTGCTTTCATCATTCCAGTAACGTTCCATGATAATAAAACCAAGTTCTGTCACTCATCAAGTTCACTTCAACACAACATGTCGCAGCGACAATGGCTGCTCAAGAAAATGTAATCTGTATTTCACCCCTTTCTTAACAGATTCAAATATATTTTTACCGTATTCCACCATAATATGTCGATACTTTCAAACTGGACCAGAGATATTTTTATGGACAATTTTTTTTGTTAACCTAACGAGTAAGTAACCTCACTTTTATCAATTTCCAATTTTCGATTTCATAATAATGTCTTTATTTCAAAACCAATAGTTGATCAACAAGAAACAAGTCCTAAATTCAATTTAATATATTTCTATAATATATTTCTGTAGCTCATCTTATTCGCCTTGAAGTTCTCTATTCAACTATATATTTATCACAACTTGATATTCGTTCATTAATTGGCTGTTGAATTGATTGTTATCAAAATACATAAAGTTGGCTGTGACCCGATTGCAATGACACCTCGATGCTTTGATTTATATAAAATTCTCAAAAAAAAAAAATTTTCAACAAATTTTTCGAAAAATTTGTTTTTTAAATTTCTCCAATGTTTTCGAATGGCTAAAAGCAGATTACTAACTTACAGGTATGCACTTAACAGTCGAAAGCGCTCTGCTACGAGTAATGAAATTGAATAAATTATCTTGTACGAAATACAACACTTCCCTTTATTGTTAAAAAAGTCTCCTCAAACATGGTGTGATAAACACCACTCCATCACCTCTGAAGACATCTATTTTCGATTATGGATTGTTGAGACTTCTTGGTAGTCCCTACGGTGTCATGTCCATTCAATCGTCTATTCAGCAGCGCTAATATCCTTTAGTACGCATCTCCATCAGAATCAGATCAGGTACTCGTATTTGTATCAGGAATGATGTAGTGTGTTTCGGCGAGATGAAAGTATAAGTATAAAAATAGTTTGATAGCAATAATGCATAGATTGAAGAATCCCCCTAATCTACGAATAATGTGAAGGATGTTAGCGAATTCAGCTTCACTTTGTTGAGTAACGTATATTCAAGCATTCTTTGTCACCCAACAAGAATCTGAGAAGCAAATTTTTGACAAATTTTCTGAAGCTCACCAAATTAGTACGTCACACCGACGTGATTCTCAGACGTCATAGATACGTCATTGCAGCATCATAATAGTGACGTTCAATAGGTACACCTGTATACAGGGTGTTAACAAATAAGTGTCACAACGGAAAACTGTAGATTGCTCATGAAAAAAGGAAAAAAGAAACCCTTTCGGAATTTTTCTCTGAGCTTCCGTTATCAAGATACAAGGCGTCAAAAAAATACAAAAAAATATGTTTTTTGCTACTATCTCAGGAACCGTTTGAGCCTTCGTACACACTTCATCATCAATAAAGACTACTTTCAGGGCTCTTGATCAATTTCCTTGGAAATGTCAGTAGAGAAGAATTCAACGCCTCGTAAGCGTTCAACCCCCCAAACATTTATACCACTGGAGAAATTGTAATTTTCAAAGTAAATTCTGAAGCACCAATATCTTTCACACAAAAAACGTCCTCTTGTCTCTGAAGTGAACAGTTTCCGCAAAAAATGGCCCTTTATGAATAAGAACATACTAAATCCTGATGGTATCTTTAAAAGTCGTCTAAAAATCCACTGGAAATAAATACCTCAGAACTGTTTAATAATATGTTCAATCAAATGTTAGGTTCTTGAGTATGCTGGTCTTGATGCTGGTTTTCATATTGTCAAGTTAATCGAGTGTTGTGAAGTGTCGAACTGAACATTTTTTATTTTTTGACGCCCTGTATCTCGAAAACGGAAGCCCGGAGAAAAATTTTGAAGAGGAAAGAAATGTTTCTTTTATTATGGGAAATCCATAGTTTCCCGTTGTGACACTCATTTGTTACCACCCTGTATATACAAATGGTAACTCTCCTTTTTTCTTACTCCTTTTTCTTATACATGGTGTCCCAACCTTGTTGGCCTATTACACGTTGGAGAACGGAACATAGGATTATTCTGAAGATTTTAGTGTATCGGGTAATCAGTTCTGCTCACTCAATCAATCAAATATGATATTTATATATATACCCTCTGTATATTATTGCATCTCTAGATTCTTCCTGAAGAGCTGATCTCATCGATTCACACTTGTGGTCTAGCGAGGATGATTACAGAGATAAAGAGGGTAAACAAATCGAGATTTTTCAATCTTGGGATTTTTCGTGTCGAAACTTTCCGTTATTGGTTGAGAGGGCTTCTATGTCCATGTCCTTACTTTTCATTCACCATCATTTGATATTTAATAGGAACAGATACAAGGTGATCAAAATTTTGAATTATGATCCACCCTGTATTTGTTACAATCAAATGTCAATAGATATAGTGAATCAACAGTTGAAATCGGTATGTAGTAGCAGTTTTCACCAATAGTGAAAAGTTTCGATACAATAAATCACTAAATTTGAAATATCTCGATTTTTCACACCCTACATATCTTCAAATTTCAGACCGATTGCCTTGCTACCCGCGTTAGCGAAGGTAATCGAAAAATTAGTTAAAAAAAGAATGGTAACTTTTATATGCAAACATGGTATTCTTAGTTCAGATCAATATGGTTTTCAATCCTCAAAAAACACCAATGATGCAATATTCGCATTTCTTGAGCGGCTGTACTTACGGCTGAATGATGGGGAAGTAGCTGCAGCAGTATTCTGTGATCTATCAAAGGCCTTTGACTGTGTAAATCACAGAATACTGCTTCAAAAGCTGCAAACCTATGGTTTTAGAGGTGTAGCTTTGCTCTGGTTTCAGTCATATTTGACTGAACGTATCCAAAGCGTCATCGTCGCTAATACAAGCTCTAAGCATTTAGCACTGAAACATGGAGTACCGCAAGGGTCTGTACTGGGACCCCTGTTATTTTTACTATATGTGAATGACTTAACACATGTCGACATTCATGGACAATTCACAGTATTTGCTGATGACACTACTATACTTTGGCATGGCATGGATTACACATTTTTAGAAGACGTCATCAATGAGGACCTGAACAAAGTTAAAAAATGGTGCGACGCCAACTTATTATCTTTCAATGCTACTAAGACAGGTATCATCAACTTCAAGTGTGTTATTAGCAATGTATTTCTCGAAAATGATCGTATCAGCATCAAAGCCATGAAAAAATTCTTGGGTCTAAATATTGATGCAAATCTGAAATTTGAAGGGCATATATTAAATTTATCTAAAAAGCTAGCGTCTGGCTGTTATGCCGTACGAGTTACATCTAACGAATTAGGGTTAACTGCGGCAAGGAATGCATACTTTTCACTTATTGAATCTCATCTGCGTTATGGTATTTGCTTCTGGGGAATGACTGCGAACTATTTATTCGATAGAGTTTTTATGCTCCAAAAGAGAGCTCTTAGATACATGTGCAAAGCCGGCTCGAGGGACGCTTGTAGACCTTTATTTTTGCTCCATGGAATATTGCCCCTGGCCTGCATTTTCATTTTGGAAACCGTATGCTTAGTACATAAAAAATATAAAGAATTCAGATACGCGTCATCGATTCACACTACTCGCGGCAGCTCTTCCCTAAACATTAAATTACCTATTCCCATATCAACTCTTACTAAGAACTCTATTATCTACGAAAGCAAGAAGTTATTCAATCATTTGCCCCTGCACCTAAAAAGAATTGAAAATGAACAAAAGTTCAGGAAATCCGTGAAACAGTTTCTTTTGGAGAGAGCTTGTTATAATCTCAATGAATTCTATCAGGTTTCCTAATTGTTATGTTATTTTATTATCTATGTTTTTTATGATCTTTTTTTATGATCT